GACATTGCTTCACTTGCTTTTCTTTGCTCAACTTTTATTGAGTTGAGATTCGGTGTCAAACAGGCAGGCGGAGTGATCCGGGCAGATGTATGAAGCGAGTTCCAGAGAGACGAGTTAACCCTGCATCGCAACCTCACCTTGCTCCCAAAACCCCTGAGTTAATGGAAAAGACCCCGTCATCAACCCTCTGTTCCGGCCACCGTGTTTTCCTCTCTTCCATTATCCTCCCTGACCTGCGCTTTACTTCATCAATTTACCCATCATGCATCTCTGTCACCTCGGCCCAAAGCCAATTTGTTGTGGGGTTACGCTGCAGGTTGACATCATCAACAAACGAAACATCTCATCATGACTGGTGTGTGCAGATGCAAAGGACCGACCTCCAGACGGTAAGTGCTGAAGCTTTCTGTCCGCAAACAGAGGGAGTGTGTGCTTTCGGCTTAAGTGCTGCTGTAAAAACTCATTACATTTCAAAACCACACTAATTCTTGAGTTCTGGGACAAAATAAGCCACAGAACTGGAAAGGGGGGGGGGGTTAAATGTCATTTTAAAGTATGTTACACTGTAAATGGAAAAATTATAATGAAGGCATTTAGTAATGGAGCGAGATCCCAATTTCGTCGGTCATCCGACGTGACGTCTCCGTTCCCTCCTTCAGGGAACGAGGGTTACCATACGTAACCGAGACGTTTTCTTGCTCCTATGCTAAATAAACAAACAAACAAATAAATAATTATGCACCGAATTTGCCACTGTTGAAATTAATAAAATAAAGCAATAAATAATTAAAACTACATTATTATAATTTAAAAATAAATAAATAAATAAAATAAAGTAAAGTCTGTAAATATATAAGGCACATATTTGTGAACTTTCTTATCCGGAAAGCAAGATAACACCATATGGCATAGCTGTGGTATCTTTAAAGCACAAATTTGGCAGAAGCAGAGATGCTAACTCTAAGCAATAACCCAAACAAAGTCTACTTTCCTCCAAAACTCTCCAAAAAATCCCAGTGGAGAGATCCAGGAAGATAAAAAAGAACCTATTAGACTCTCTGTCCCTCCAGACTTTCGAAGCCCACCTACCTCAACTTTGTCCTAGTTCACAAAAACTGAAAAACTGAAGACATAAAGGCCGGAGACTAAACAATGCTGTTGTTATCTTGCATGTCTTTATGAGTCAGGATTGATTTATGCCTTAAGTTGACCGATAGTTACCTTGTTTCATGATCGCAACACGCTGCTCGACATGTTATAAAGCCTAATAATTTTTCACAGCCTCTCGCTTTTTCCATTTTTTACCCTGTTCATCTCCCAAGTGTTTTCTAATCCTCGTAAAAATGCATCATTTATGACGTGGTATTTTCCGCTGTAATAATCCTATGCATTTCCTACGACCAGCTGTCACGAAATGTTAAATCTTCCTCTTCTGGCTTAGCTTTTTATAAGCACGATTGTATCAAAACACAATATTGCATATCACATTTTCCCGCAGTCCTGGTGAGAAACACATAAAATGCACATTTTATGCACACAGACTTTTTACGGGCATGTGCTGACATCAGTGGGGGCGGGTGATGACAGACACTGTAAAACATGGTAGGACTTGAGCATAGCAAGCATTCACTATTTTCTCGCTGTTTTAATTCATCTCTGGTTATACCAGGCTGCGCGTCCCTGGCGGACCATTATCGCTGTGTGGCAGATGGCTTCCCTGACTCGACAGAAAACAGCCTGGGATAGTGTGTGTGTGTGTGTGTCCTGTGCAAAACCAAGTAGCCAAAAATAAATGAATAAATAAATAAATGTGCTCATGCTCTTCAGCACAAAGAAGTTTAGCGTTTGTAGTCGGCTGCGGCCTGGGATTTTTCTGTAGCGAGCATCTACTGTAGTTACAGAGAGGACTGTCTTTCTAGTCCATGGGGAGTGAAGGACACAGTGAGCACACGACACGCTCATGATGCAAGACAAACAATCCAGAACCAACTCACTAAACAGTTCAATGCATGCTATTTCACTGCAAAAACCTCTTATTCACTATTCACCAACCATCAAAGATTAGCAGAATGCTTGAAAATTAATAATAAACACAGCATGTAGATATGTAGGAATGAATGAATGTATTAATTAATGGATAGACAGATAAATAAAATAATTAATTAATTAATTAATTAATAATAATTTAAATTTAATGAATTAAAAATATAATTAGCTGTTTTTAGTGAATAAATAACTCTAAATAAACACAGTATGTAGGAATGAATGAATGAATGGATAGATAGACAGATAAATAAATAAATAAATAAATAAATTACTCTTAATTTAATAAATTAAAAAAAATAATTAGCAGTTTTTAGTGAATAAATAACTCTCCACCTAATATTAATTAATAAAACAAAAATAAATAAAATTACATTTTTTTTTTTTTTTTAAATAGAGTTTAGTGAGTTTAGTTCATAAAATAAAATAATAAATTATAAATATTTATTTTAAAGACAAATAGTTATATATAGTATCTTTCAGGCAGGACATATTAATGTTTCTAACACATTTATATGCATTTTTTTTTTTGTAAAATCAAAAAATATATATTTAACTTACGAAAAAGATACACAGGTTATTCTCTTAAATGTTTATCCTATATAAATAAACATTTTGTTCTCAATGTGTTGTAGAAATGCTGCACTGATGTTATTGAAAAATAACATTAAAGCATTTCCCTTGTTTATGATTCACAGTCTCTGCAGTTTCAATCACATTACTTCTTAATATAAAGAAAAACAGAAGTTAAAAAGCTTTGCAATGACAATTTATTTCAGACAACATAATACAATTTTTCAATTAATTTTTATTACTTCATACTATATCCTATTTATTTCTAAGGGATGTTCTGACAAAACAAAACAAAACAAAACAAAACATATTTGAACTCTCCAATTCATTGCTATAGGAAGTTCTGTAAAGCCTGTCTGAGTTGGCAACAGAAACCAAATGGAAAGGACTTAGTGACGGGTCAATTCATTCTTAGTGAAGTCATATGCAAGCAAAGA